GAAGCTATCAGTCTATGAGAGAAACAAAAGGAGAAAAAAGCTAGTGGTGCCGGGCGCTGGTGGCAAGCACGGTTTTAAAGAGTTTATTTAGTAAAGAGGAAGTGAAGCCCACCCAGAAGCAGCAGCCACAGCAGCAGTGGGGACCTGGAGACTGGTTGTCCCACCCTGCTGCTTGGTGTGGCCCCTCTCCCCCTCCCTTTGTCTCCGCCCTCCAGGCAATCTGTCCGATGATTGGTCTGTTTGACTCAGGCAGACCTTCTCCAGAGTGATGGACGTGGCTCGTGCTTGGTCTGTTTAAAACAGGCTGGACCGTCTCCTGGGCGGTGGTCCAAGAGAGGTGGTTTGGCCTGAGACCTTGGCCTTGGCAAGAACCAAGGCTCTCCCCTGGGTGGTAGCTTGTAGAAAGGCTGGCTTGTGTTATGGCTGGACCTTTCCCTGGGAGCCGGCCACTGGAGAAGGAGGGAGCAAACTGGCCAAACTGGTTTGTCCTTCAATATTAGGATTCTCCAAAGAAACAGAACGAATGGAATCTATGTACGAGAGGGGTTTTCTTGGACTGGCCCACAGGGTCAGAGAGGCTTACAAGGTCCACAATGGCTCTCTACAGCCTGGAAAGCCAGGAGAGTCGGTCGTTGTTCAGCCCGAGGAGCTAGAAGCCTCAGAACAAGCAGGACGAAATGATGCAGCCCCAAGTCAGAGGCTGAAGGCCCGGGAGCCCCTTTGAGAGCCACGGACACAAATCCTCCTTCAATAGCTGAAGGGCCTGGAGTCTGATGTCTACGGGCACACCGCAGCAGAGAAATCCATCTGCTCAAGGAGGGAGGGTGAGAATGAGAGTCAATTTTCCCCTTCCTTCACTTATTTATTCCATTCTAAAATTGGAAAGACTCATCGTAGGGGCCCCTGGTTTTGGGGTGGGGGTGGGGAGGCAGGATAGCAACAGTGGGGAACACATGATGGAGTTTGTCTCATCAGCCAAGAAGCAAGAGAGAGGGGAGGAGAGGTGTGCACGCTCATAATCCAATCCCCTTCACAGACACCAAGGCCCGCCCTCCAATGGCTCAGCAACTTCACATTAGGCCCCACCTCTTAAAAGTTCCGCTTCCTCCACTAGCATCACCATGAGAACCAGGCCTTTGACACATGACTTGAGGGATGTTAGCGAGCCCAACCGCAGCCTAAGACGGCCACGAGATTATATAATGAGAGGGGAGCAGACCACAGCGAATTGAAGTCGGTAGGACTGACTTATTCCTCCACTGATGCATGGCATGGACAGCCCAGCTAATTTGGGATAACCATGATTCATTAGGTAGTTATTAAACAAGTCACTTGGGAGAATTATAGACTCTCCTCGCAAGAAGCGAATACTGGGAGGAGGAAGGAGACAGGAACATTTAAATATAAGAACCAAGTGAGACAACTCAAAAACAAAGCCTCAGGGTATCTGGGTGCCATTAGGTGAGACTACACTTCAGGATGAAAAGAAGCTGGGCACTGGTGGCTCATGCCTGGCATCGGAGCTACTCAGCAGGCTGAGGTCAGAGGACTGCAGTTTGAAGCCAGCCCAAGCAGGAAAGTCTACGTGTATCAGCAATGAACTATTCAGAAAAAGCCAGAAGTGGTGTTGTGTCTCAAATGGTAGAGCACTAGCCTTGGGCCAAAGCAGCTCAGGGACAGTGATCTGGTCCTGAGCTCAAATCCCACACAAAAGGTAAGACAAGGTCGAAGGGCTCCTGGACAGGTGTTTCTTGAGGAATATGCCAATACGGTTTGTGATGATGGAGTGGTACAAGGCCAGAAAATATGACTGCTTAGGGGCGGAGTGTAGGATGAAGATTACAGTGTCTGCTTCCAAAAATTATGAAGAGAATCTTAGTTAGACTTATAGGCAATACATTAAAAACTGCAGGGACCATTTTAGCACAAGCTTGTAGTGAGGTTATCTCTGCTCTAAGGTCCAGTAGATCTTGAGATATTATTTTAAATTAGGCTTGGTGTGTTAGGAAATATTTCCAGTCCTGGATTTTGAGTCCTGGATCTCAGCACCAAATGTAAGGAACTGTTTCAAGTCCTGGGTTTTGAATCCCGAGTTTCAGCATCCAATATAAGGAGATATTAAGAGAATATTTCGAGTACCAAGAGTATGAATAAAGAAAAGAGCAAGCCAGGGAGCTGGTGGCTCATGTCTGTAATCCTAGCTACTCAAGAGGCTGAGATCTGAGGATCACGGTTCAAAATCAGACTGGGCAGGAAAGTCCATAAGATCCTTTTCTCCAATTAATCACCAGAAAACTGGAAGTGGCACTGTGACTCAAAGTGGTAGAGCACTAGCCTTGAGCAAAAAAGAACTCAGGATCAGTGGCCAGGCCCAGAGTTCAAGTCTCACAATCAATACCATCCCCCGTCCCCCTCCCCCTCCCACTAAGAAAGGTTTTAAACATTGTTTTAGAACATAGCACCTTTAGAAGTGAGGCATATCTTTGTGGTTAGATCTTTAACCTCTTCCCAAATGTTGGTCCAGTTGCTTCTATTTCGGGAGTTATTTTCAGCATTTTAATTTGCACTAGCATTGGCATTGTTTTGGCAAATGAGATCTTTCACAATCACCATTAGTATGTCCTTATAGTTACCTTCGCTCTCATGAGAAGTTGTGGTCATGTTTGTTCCTTAAAAGCATGTCCATTTTTAGAGCTTTTTAATTGATTCATTTGGATTTTCTAGATTTAGCTTAGAATGTTATGTCATGGTACTTTTAGCCTCTAACATAATCAGTTTTAAAAAATTCATATCTTATTGCATTAGCCAGAAGTTCTGGAAAATATTAAATAGTAATGAGTTACAACAAGCATTTTTCTTAACCTCTGCATTTAATAGGAAGGCCTTAGCTTTTCACGATTACCATTCATTCTTCCACAGCTCCAACATTTACTGAGCGCTAAATTCGACTACAGCATCTGCCCTCCACAACATTAGATTATTTGGTTTTCAGTTTGAACCACGTAGCCACATAGTTTAAGTTGAGATAACTAGACCCAGTGTCACCAAAGCAGAGCCAGCTTTCAGTGGCTCTGTATTTCCTCCTATTGTTCTGAGAGCCTTTTAATTTAGTCCTTTGGATCTCCTAGGTATGTGAACACATCGAATCTAAAAAATGGTCATCTTAATCTATAACATTCCAATAATCATTGTTAAAAATTTGATTTTGAAAATGAAGGGTTGGTAATAGCTAGTGCTTTTTTGATAAGAGTTGTGCAATTCATCCCCATATTAATTATGAGATTAAATTGTTGGTTGCGAGAGATTATTTCTATGAATTTCATCCTATAAAACAGCTAACTACCATTTGCACTGCTTATTTCTCTGAACGGGCCAAAAGCCACTGCCCGGATGCTTCTCCTTTTCTCCTTCCCAGGAGGAAAGATGTCTCTTAGCAAGAGACGTAACAGCCAGGCAATGATGGCATGCATCTGTCATCCTAGCTATTGGGAGGCTGAGATCTGAGGATCACAGTTTAAAGCCAGCGTGGGCAAGAAAATTCATGAGACTCATCTCCAATTAACCACCAAAAGAGCTGGAAGTGGAGGTGTGGCTCAAGTGGTAGAGTGCCAGCCTGGAGTGGAAAAGCTGAGATGGTGTTTGGGTGAGACAGAGATGTGGGGGGTGAGTGAGGAAGGAAGGAAGGGACAAGAGGAGAGGAGAGGAGAGGAGAGGAGAGAGGAGAGGGGAGAGGAGAGGGAGAGAGGGAAGAAGGAAGGAAGGAAGGAAGGAAGGAAGGAAGGAAAGAAGGAAGGAAGGAAGGAAAGAAGGAAGGAAGGAAGGAA